TGAAGTAGAATATTCCATGCAGCCCTTTATACATTAATGTTTCACAGAATGTTTCACAGGCAATTATAGCTTCTTCATGCTTCCTTTATTACTATGACAATTTCAATTAAATGAAACAACCATTTACAACCAATAGGAGGTTAATATTTACAAGCTGCTTATTTCATCATAATGTAAGGACATGTATATCTAATGAAGAACTTGGACATTAAGGCTTTTTATTACCTGTTGTCTTGCAGTTAGTTCAGTGGTAGGCCCAAACTGGAATAATGCAAGGAAATCATACCGTTTTGGTCTGAAGCTGAATTTTGAAGTCATATAAACAGTTTAGTGCAAGTCTAATTGACTAACATGCATTAGACAGAGAAGACTTCAAGGGGTAAAAATTAGAGAAAATTTAATCGATTGGTTATTTTCAGCAAATTTGTATTTTAAGAGCTGTTTTAAAGTGCTATTCATGTAGCAACTTATTCAACCGTCACAGCAACTCAACAATACTGATACCATTATGTCTCCATTTAAACAGATAAGGGAACTGAGGCAGAGCAGTGAAGGCCTTGGCAAGGAAATGATTGGCTTATACTATTAAATTATCTAATTATATGTCATCCCCCTACCAATTTAAGAGTCACTTGGTAGATTGCAGTAGAGGAATCCAACTTCAACCGATTTATACAATTTGCCAATTAAAGAACAGAGGCTGAAGTTATATGGGTACAATAAAAAGTAGCAGGATTTGAAGGGACTACAACTTTGTAAGGCACAGGTATTGAAATTCTCACAGAGAGAACAGGTCTTTTCTTCCTCAAACTTCTTGTTTAAGTATGAAATCCAGTAAGGGAGAGCATGTGATTCTGGAAACTTAATGAATTCTGAAATATATTGTAAAGAGGTCATAAAATTTGGAATTAGAACACCAATTCTAGCCATGTGGCTTTGAGCAAATTACCCAGCTTTATTACATGCCTCATTTAATGAAGGGAAATAATAATATTCTTTTCAGAGTTATTATCAGGATACAGTGAAGAAAGTACATGAAAACAATGTAATCAGTAAAGGTGAACATAGATATTTGTTAATTTCACTATATAACAATAGTATTGGTGGATAATAAATATGTATAGTTACTAAATATAAAATGACTGAGGAGAGTTTATTCATATCAGAACTTCAATGACAGAATCCCCAAATGACTTGAAAACATTTAGATTTGAAACTAGATTGTTTGCTCTGGCCAGGTAGCTCAATTGGTTAGAGCATTGTCCTGATACGCCAAGGTTGCGGGTTTAATCCTTGGTCAGGGCACTTAAAAGAGTCAACCAATGAATGCATAAATCAGTGGAACAACAAATCAACTTTTTTCTCTCTCTACCTGTCTCTCTCTCCCCCCCCCCACCCTCTCTCTCAAAAAAAATTCAAAAAAAGATTTTTCAAGCAACTAAAGTCCTTCTGCAGAAAGCAGACCAAGGAGAGCCTTCCAGGTGCAAGAACAAAGCAGTCGATTACAGTTGAACTCAAAGCTTGGCACTAGATTCACTAGCAAAGGCAAAAGAGAAGTTCAGTGTGTTAGCTATCGTTTGAAATTCAAAAAAGCAAAATGCATTTGCTTCTCTTACTTGGATCTTTCAAATGGAGGTATCTTTCGGTATACCAAGTTATCTGGATAATAACCACTTTTCTGCAGATCTTATGACTAGATAAATGAGTGCTATTTAAAGAAGAGCATAAAGTGAACAAAAAAAAAAGACAGCTTATGATTAGCCCTTCAAATAACTACAACCGAGTTTGAAAAAGAACAATAAAAATGTTAACAGCTTAAATAATAAACATATATATCTATATATAGGTCTAGGTGTATCTACATATATAGAGATATATACCTCAATTAACTCAAATTACCTCAAAATTTGAAAAGCCAAAAAGAATGAAATATTTTTTTCTGTATGACTGGACATGTATGAGACAGCTAAAGAAAAGAGGTAAATATAAATAATGCTACAATGAACATAGGGTGCATATATTCTTTCACATTAGTGTTTTGGGGTTTCTTACAATATATACCCAGAAGTGGACTTGCTGGTCATAAGAAAGTTCCATTTTTAATTTTTTGAGGAAACTCTTTGCTATGTACGGTGACAGGTGGACACCTCTGAAATATCAGGGGGAACACTTTATAAAGTAGATGGTTGTCTAACCACTATGCTGTACACTTGAGACTAATACAAAATAATGTTGGATGTAAACTGTTATTGAAAAATAAAATCTGAGAGAAAAGAAAAAAGGTAAATGTCTAAATGGGTCACTCCGGGTGCCTTTGAAGCTTCAAAAAGATTTACTGCATTAAAGGCATCTTTAATTTGCATAGTTGATTCTTATTCAACACCTTCCTGCTTTTAGCACCTGTAGGGTGTCTCCCCTCTTAGTTATTAACTGCTGCTGAAATGACTTTTAAAAATCTGGGGATGTAAGGAAAACTAAGTAGAGCCCATCAGTGCAGTCAAGCATTTTACTTCTTGGTCACTAAGAACTAACAAAACATATTGAAGAAATTAGATTTCGATATGGCTGAGGAACATAAACAAGTATTCTCTGAAGTAACAAAATTAAACTTATTTTGAGGAGTAGTTGAGTATTTGCCTCCTTCGATTTCTTTTCACATTATTCTTGGTGGTGGTGCTATTAATGGTAGTAGTAAACTAGTAGCGCTGTCTGGTGTGCTAGTAGTTATAGCAGTTGTTCCATATTAATAATAGTTGCACCACCTGATGTAGTCACAGTAACAGCCATTGTAATTTATTTTAATTTTACAATAATAGAAGAATCAAGGGTTGTGATTATAGCTTTTACATAGTAATGAATTCTTTTAAATTTTTACTTTGTTCTTTGGGAACAATTTGAGACATCATATATGGATATATGATTTTAAATACTAACAGTATGAATTAAGGATTTGATATCTCCTATGGTTGTCCATTTTGCAAACCTTTTTCAAGGAATCACTGCTGCTTTTCATAGAGCTGCTTTGGAGAATGAACTCTGTGTTAATTTAAAATTATCTTACTGGCTTGAATTATTGCCCCTATTTTTAAATCAAGCAAAGTTTCATCTATTAGTACCCAAAAAACATAGAGTGGAGAAATAATTATCCAGAGGTACTGTCCCTGAAAGAACATTGCAGAATATAACTTAATTTTTTCCTTAAACTATCAAACTACAGAATTTTTCTATCCATTTTAATGGTGAAATTATAAAGACATTTTGGTGAGGATCAGAGAAAAAAATAAATCATAGACCTTGAAAAAAAGTAGTTACTTATCATCTTGATAATTTTGAGGATGTGATATTGGTCTTTAAACTTCAAGCGTGTTTCTGAAAATCCACAGGGAAATAAAAGCAGTGACTACATCACTATATAATATCTTTTAGTACACTTGAGCTATGTGAAATTGTGAACATACAAAATTCTTCTCAAGCCATAGGAAATTTGTTTTGAAAGCTATTGCTTGTCAAATGAGAAACAAGATGTAGTTAATGATTAAAACACATGCTAAAGATTTTACTACTTAAAATGCATTTTAAGGTTAATAGCTACAATTTAAATATACCTTTGATAAAAATGGAAAGGAAGTCAAAGAAAGAAGACATTGGTATACAAACAAATTAATTTCAAAGTAAGTAACTACAGATTTAATTTTCTAATAACTCACCTAGAAATTCCATTTGAGAATTTGAAACAATAAAGACCACAATATGCCAATTAGGTCTTTATTCAGATCATGAAGTAAGATGACAAAGGTTTTACCACTTCTAGAAGTTTCAATACTACACAATTTTGTGTTTTTTTTAGATCAAGTACTGCGAAAAAAAGAAAAATAATCTATAATAACCCCTAGATAAAGATATCTAGTTAATTTACTGTTGCTTAAACATTACAACTACATTTTCACAAATAATTTGCTTTGGATTTTGTTTTGTAATACTGTGTGTGTGCATGCGTGCACACACATGTGTGCTATTTGCATATATGTTAATTGTGCATTTCTTAGATTAATATTAAAATGAGTTAGCATTCCCTGAACTGACTCGCCTTTCCTTTCCGCCCTAAGACTTTGAGACAAGAAACTAGTACAGGATTAACAATTTGTCATGGATAATCCACAAAGTAAATAACCCCAGTGTGAATAATTCAAAGTGGGTAGTGTTGTAACATAGGAGCTATTTAAAGTTAATTCAAGAGGAAGTTCTCTATAGTAAATTCCCTCTCATTATCCCCTGCAAAGATAGGCTGCCGCTGATAAGCAGAGAAGCATTTGTGCATTATCAGTGTTTTGCCATCTTATCTGCAAAAACATAATCTTTATCTTTTTGATGGGGTGCTAGTAGTACAAAGACTTGGCTAATCTGAGAAATGTGCAAGTTTTTCCAAGGGTGTTTAGCCTCCTTTCAACTTAAAACAAAAAAGGTCTGAAACATTTTCTCCATTTTAGTAATGGAGAAAGATACAAAAATAAATATAAAAACATGCATGTGTAGTTTCTAAAATGTCCTAAACTGAGACTGCAGTTTAAGAAAATGCAATTAAACATCATGAAAATATGTTCATTTGTGAAAAGGATTTGCATGTTTGGATAGTGTTAAAATAACAAGGGATTAATAATAGGACATTAAATGTTGGAATTACTGAGAGTACTATATTAGTCTTTTCAGCCTAATCATCTCTTTCAGATAATAACCACTTTTCCCACAATTACAGTTGTTCATAATGCAGATTTCGGATTTGACAGTCTACAGGATGCTACCAAATCCTATTCAAATTTGTTACTTAACCCAGACCCAACTATTGTTGAGCAGCCATTAAGGCGTGAATTTTGTTCCTTCTTTTCTAGTTACAGATATTTTATTTTCAAAATAGGACTATTTTCAATACTGAGTTGGACGTATTTTAGTTAAAATTTTACCTGGGCCCTTTTTAAACATATTTCCTATTTTTCCAATTGTAGGTTTCATATACACTGGAGAAGTTGTGCACCGGATGCTGACAGCGACACAGTACATAGCACCTTTAATGGCAAATTTCGATCCCAGTGTCTCCAGAAATTCAACAGTCAGATATTTTGATAATGGTATGTATTAGTTAGCCTATTTTTTACTGAATGTATATTATTAAACAGTGACCATCAGATTCATTTTAACATTTTTGTTAAATGTTAAACTTGGAGTGTTTTGTTTTGTTTTGGTTTTGGTAGGCTGGATTTGTAAACTGCTTGGTGCAAATGCCCTAAAATGACAATCGTTAAACAGTTAATATGCATAGTAAAGTATATAATCAAATGTCGCTCATTCATTCATTCATTCATTCATTCATTTGTTCAAAAAATGTACATTAACATCTATTGGGAATTATAATAAATGAGTTATGCTAAGCAACACCTCATACCAAGCAAATACATTTGATGCTATTTTCAGTAAACCCTTGCCATTATATGAGAAAAGCTAAATAAGGATAATTTGTCCTGATGTTTAAGTAGAGGCAAGTGGCATAATACATTGATATTAAATTCTTAAAACTTATGAACTATATATCATAAGATGAAAACACCTTTTTAAAAATATAGGGTAGTGAATAATTAAAACACATTTAAGAAAATCTAGTTTTCCCAAGTTTAAAATATGAAATAGAGCCTATTACAGTGTATAGTGTATACTGACAACAATTTATCCCTACAATTTCTTTTGGGGATATATAGAAAAGACAAAGAAAGCTTAAACTATTTCACCAAATGCTATTTAAGTCTAAGTAAAAATTTAATGTCCTGAGGACATAAATGAATTTTCATGTCTATATCTAATTGAAGGCTCTAACTTTAGCAGAGAAAATATTGTAGAAAAAGAAGAATTTGTTTAGAAACTTAATAAAAAATAGATGTAAAAACTCACAGTTATATATAAGTCATGGACATGTAAATCACAGCATAGAGAATAGAGTCCTTAATATTATAACAATTATGTGCGACGGGGAACGGTTACTGGACTTACTGTGGTGATCACTTTGTAAGGTAAACAAATGTTGAATCACTTTGTTGTGTACCGGAAACTAATATATACAGTATGTCAAGTATAATTAAAAATAAATTCAAATTAATTGCTGATTTAATTAATTTTTGGAAACACAGAAGTTTCTGTACTCTAGAATATTAAAGTAGTATGTATTTGATATTCTAAAATAAGGTTTTTATCTTTTAAAATAATGGAAGCATTTGATGTGAACAAAGCTATTTCTACTGTTGTCTTAATGATCAAGGAAAAAATTCACAATGAGTAGTATAGACTCAGTGATACAGTTGTTTTTGGGAATGTGATCATTTTACTAAAAGCCATCTTCTAACCAGTATGATGAAGCTTTTTACATGTCAAATTGGCAGAGGAAGAAGGAAAATAAACATAGTTAGAAATATACTCTGAGAAATAAATTTCAAATAATTTGAATAACAGCAGTGTCCAATATTAAGTAACTCTGAATGTTAGCTGTGATAATAGTGCCCCCCATTATGTTTTAATTTATTTATTTACTTATTTTTATTGTTTAAATACATTTGTCTCCATTTACCCGCTACCACTTTCCTCTGCCCCACCCACCCCCACCTCTCTGTCTCAATCCTTCCCCATCTTGGCTTCATCCGTGTGTCCTTCACACACCTGTTCCTTAATCTGACCCTTCCCCTTCCCCTCCCTGCTACCCCTCTCCCTCCCTCTCTCCCGTCCCTGTCAATTTCTTCTTTCTTTCAATGTTGCTGGTCATATTTTCTTTGCCTGCTTGTTTTGCTGATTAGGTTCCACCTATAGGTGAGATCATATGGCATTTGTCTCTCACCCCCTGGCTTATTTCACTTAACATAATATTCTCCAGTTCCATCCATGCTGTTGTGAAGGGTAGTAGCTCTTTCTTCTGCTGTGTCTCTTAGAGGGTTTTCTTGTTCTTTTATTTGAAACATATTCCCTTGTTTCTTGAATTGCTTGACTCTGTGTTGGTTTCTGCACATGAGATAAAATAGCCACCTCTTCTAGTCTCATCAGAGTGGCCGTGTATAGGACATGAACCTAATCAATCAGCCAGGCCGAAGCTCCTGGTCATCTCTCAAACCCTTGTGATTGTCTAACTGAGACATCCTCTTTGTTCTCAGTAGTTGAGAGTGTTCCAAGACCCATCAGTGACCTGAAAGAGAAGACCCGAGTCAGGACCATGATGCAGGGGGATTTGTTGCTGGACCCACAGGAAGCAGTTGGGAAAAGATGCAGTCAAATCCCTTCTGGGCAGAAACTGGGAGACAGGAAACTTGGCCTGCTCACTATTCACTGAGTCTGGGAGTTTAATCATGGGAGTGCCGCTGTACCCATTTTGAAACTTCTCCTTTCTTTGCTTTAGTCTCTGACTTTTAAGTGCAAGCCCTGTTGGGTCTAGGTGCTGAAGTCTCGATGAGCACCATAAAAGTTGGGGCACTACATGTGTCCACAGCTCCTTTCAGATAAATTTTGGTAAGTTGGTTTTATCACTGGAGTGAGCTGGAAGGGAAAGGTGGAGGAAGTGTCCACCTGCTCTTTTGAGTTCTGGGCTGAATAACATTCAGCACCTAGATGAATGCTAATTAGATGGCGGACCCTCCTGCAGCAGCTTGTAAAATATGCAGACACAGCCCTGAAGGAAGAGTAGGAGATGGGCATCCTTGCCTGCCCTCTCTCTGCTGAACCTGGGAGAACAGCCACGGCAAGTGCTCAAGAGCAAGCCTGTTGACGGGTGTTTCTTTGCCTGCTCCAGGCCTGTGGAACTCATGAATGTGAACCGCATTGTCTGCCACAAATAGGTGATCTGGGGCCCTGTCCCTCAGGTGGTACCGCGAAAACTGGGTGCCAGACTTGTGCATAAGCTCCTTCCAGAGAGGGGCTGGTGACATTGCATTGTTGTTGGAGTGAGCCAAAGGGAGAACACAGGAGCCCCTGGCTCTTTTGGGCTCCAGAAGGGATCACAGTCAGCACCTACATACGTGCAGCTTCAGTGTAGGTGTTTTCCCTGTCACCCCATGCGTAGCAGTCACTCGGCTAGTTTTTGGATCGCTCTCTGGGGAAATTGCTTCTTGTGTGGCTAAATATGTTGTGTGTCTATGGGAGGAGGGGAATTCTGGAGCCTCCTATGTTGCCATCTTGCTTAGAAGCTCCCAGCACTACTACACTCAAAAGCAGAGTAAAGACAGTATTTGTTCTGCATGGATCACCTGGTACAGGGATTCACTGGAAAGCAGTTGGGGGGAGAAACGCAGAGGGCCAGGTGAGTGGCACGGGGTGGGCAGCTTCCCTGCCGTCTCTGGGCTTGACTGGCCCAGCCCCTCCATCTCGTCACTGACCCAGAAGCTCTCTGTCATACTATCTTGATTTTTTTTTCTTTTTTAATCAGATATTTAATGACCTGGAAGACAGGTTTCGCTCTTTTAGTTCTGCTTGTTTCATGTTCTGTAGAACAGTTTTCAGCAACATGATTTTTTAATTAAACAGAAAATCCAATACTTAGAGCTAAACAGAAGGGTTACTGCTTATTTTTTTCTTTAAAAAAATAGAGAAAAAAAACAATGGCAGTTAAACATATATATGAATTCTCATTGGTAGATACTAAACTGTGTTGTAATTTATATTTCACATTAATAGGTTCATAGTAAACTCTGGTAGATTGACTTATTAGAACATGATATATAACACTAAAGATTTTTCCCAGTTTATTTCAAGAAGACTTCAGAAATCTTAGCGTGGGGCCCTTTAAGCTACCTTGCAGCCCACTGGAAGCAATACAACAAAGACAGAAATGCAGGCATTGTGAATCAAAGAAAAATATTTCCATTAGTGTTAAAAGAATTTCTTCATCCTGGAAAAGTATAATTCTAAGTACGGAAGAGACATTTTTAGATCTTTTCTAAGTGCTTCTAGCTTTTCTGAATGTGTTCCTTTCTCTCTCAGCATTTATCAATGTATTTGAAATTCATGCAATTCACTTGGGCTGCATTTTGAAAGTGGCTCGTGGAAATTTAAGCAGCCGGTACCCATTAACATTAATGGATTTCCTAAGGCAAAATTCCCCCATACTGGGCTCAGTATTAACCTCAGTATGAGGTTAGATTTTACCAAATATTTAGAGAATACTCAACTCCTTAACAATATTCCAAATGCAATTTTTTAAACTGAAAAACACTTCTATTCATTCTCTCTCTATTGTTTAACAGCAGATATTGTGGTTCTTTATTTACCTTTAAGTTCCATTACATCAAAAGAATAAAATGTTATATATCTTCACTTAAAGATATATAATACTTTAAAACAATCAAAATAAATCACTCTGCCTTAGCAAACTGCATTCATGCTGAAGTTTTAGTCTTCTTATCAGGTGACGGCCAAAATCCAAACTGTAGAATACTCTGAAACTGTAAATTCAATTTAGATATCATCAGACTTCACCATCATCTCCACTGTCATTAAACTGGATTTCATCATCATCTCCAGGATCAAATGTATCTGTTTCATTGATTTTAGCATGTTCTGGAAGCTAGCTATATGCCAAATGCTATTTCAATAACAGAATTCCACTTAACCTTGTAAACTTTAAGCAGCACAACTACTAGATTGGAAGGCTAGATTCCATGTTTTTGTGAAGACTCCCACCAGAATTGATTGATATGTTTTTTCTCATTGTATTTCTTCTGTTCTGATGGGGTTTGTAGGTACAGCACTTGTTGTCCAGTGGGACCACGTACATCTGCAGGATAATTACAACCTGGGAAGCTTCACATTCCAGGCAACCCTCCTCATAGATGGACGCATCATCTTTGGATACAAAGAAGTAAGTAATGCATTGAACATTTTCTTCACCTTTGACCTTGAAGTCTATCTATTCTTTCCTTCAAATGTCAAGAAAGAGACACCTTATAATCATAAGTCTTAAATCATTTTCTCACCTCTTGGTTTTTTTCTTCCCTTGGTAAAAAGTATGTTTTAATCTACTGGATAGCACTGATTGTTCATGCTTTGGATTTTGTTTTGTTTTCTATTCCTATGTCATTGGCATTATGATCCATGAATTTTATATCATTGAATAATTATATGATACTGAAATAATTCTAAAAGAAAATACTTTCAATTTGGAATGCAATTGTTTATATATATTTGTTTGTTGTCTTGTCAATTTCTGTGACTTTTTTACCTCTACCTCCAAAAATATTAGTAAATGTGAAATCTTCTATGGCTCAGTGACCCCAAACTGAAAGTGTGCCAGGACAGCCTTTCACTAATGATTATTTCAAACCAATAGAAAAGATTAATTAGACATCTAAGTGACAGAAATAACAAGGGAATTTAAACTTATGATTTATTTCATTTTACCAAACTGACAAAGAAGGGAAACTTACTAAATTGTAGCCTTAAGTTTAAGGAATGTGTAAATTAGAATAATAACAAGTTTGGTTTAAAACTATTGACAATATAATTAAGGTCTATTAGACAACCTAAACTTTTGGAGACAAAAACAAAGACTGTAAGAGTAAAGTTCCAGGAACAGCAGATGTGATATTTCAGGCAGTCATTAGGCAGGAGAGAATTTCTGATAGTGTGGATTGATAATAGGCATTATTAACACATGGATTGATGGTTATTTATAATAATACACTCTTAATATCTTTTCAGTTGAAGGGTTATTTTCCCTTCAGACAGGAATCCCTGGCTATTAACAGGACATTGATAATTTTTAAAGGGTTCACTTTGGTCAAGCCTTCTGAAATTTATCCTTTCTATAAAGCGAAGACTAGTTATATTTCAATTAAATAAGCCAACTTGGGAAAATTTTATAATCAGACTAGATGTTTCCACTTCTTTGATGAATTCTTGCATGTGGAATTAATCCTATGCTGGGGCAATAATGTAGGTTATACTATAGGATCTGTTCTGCTTTGTGCTTCTTTATCCAGAGCTATGTTTTCATAGCATAGTCCAGCATATTCTTATATTACTCCTCGGAATCTGAGATAATATGCCTCGAAGGGACTTATTTGAGTTTTTCTTCTATTATCTAGTGTGTTGTTATTGGGACTGCAGAGTGATGTTATGGAATGCTAGTTCTCAACAGTTTAACCAACAGTGGTAAAGTTTCTGGAAAGACACAGGGTCAGTCAGTCCAGAGTCTTAAACATCACTAACCATAGCCTTTGTCAAAACAAAGGTTGTGTTCCTATTGTGGTCACTCTTTCCAGTCCTTATTACCAAAATTGTCATCTCCATTTACACTGTTGTCAATGGGAGTCTTGCATTGAAGAGAAATGGTTTATTTTTCCCATTCTTTCTTCACAGTGGGTTTAGTATTTTTAAGCGTTTTTTTCCTTTTCTTTATTTTAATCAAAGAAAAATTTTGCATTATGTTTTTTTCTGTTTTGTCATGGAGAATATTAAGCTGATAAGCAATTTTTAACACTTTCTTGATATTCTCAGTCTGTTTTCCCTGTTGAACAGTAGTCCTTCTGAACTCAAGAGTTCTACATAAGTCATTAGTGTTTTATTTACCTTATTGTCCTTTTTCTGTCCTTGATAGAAAGCAGTTTCTTATTTCCTATTCTGACTTTTTTCTGATAATTGTCATGCATTTTACTTTGTGCAGGCAAATTTCTATTTGTAAAATTTGCCACAGTGAAAGTACACATGTACTTGGGTGAGAACTAGATGCACCTGGTACTCCTAGAAAAAGTATTTATAATCGTGAAAACATAAAATAGTCATTTATATAATGTACTGTCCTTGACAGAATGCTTTCACATACATTATAGTTTTCAATTCTTCAACAATATCCTATATTCTTAATATCCTTAGCTTTCATAAAGGTGCTGGCACATAGAAGGTGTTGAATAAATGTTCCTGACTTAATTATGAAATTAGATCAGGCACAATTAGCTTTATTTGATAGCTAAGCAGACTGAGTCAGAGAGGTTAAATGACATGCCTGAGGTTGCAGAGCTGGCTGAGGGCAAATCCAGGACTAAAAGCCATAATTTGGTGACTCCAAAAGACCTCAACATTTTTTTCCCCAAGGATATTATATGTAACAATTCACAAATGTATTTCTCATTTGCTTTTTCAATAAGTATCTGTTAATGTTTGGTGTTTAATAATATTTTTATCTGAGTTCAATATATTACACAATTTTAATCCACAAAATCAGGAGAAGTATTCCTTTTTAAGTTGCAAAGCTAACAAAATCATGAGACTATAAGAATATAAGGAGTATAATTTTGTGTTCCTGTACAAGTTAAACTTACAGACCCAAAATTATAGATAAGAAGTAAGTGCAATTCTTTCTGTAATAAGTTGCTTCTAGCTAGTAATACCCGCTTTGTTTTATTTTATTACATTTTATGTAAGAAGGAAAAAAAACTGATTTTTGTGGAAATTACCAGTAAAGAACTTGGTTAAATTGTTGAATAAAAATTAATACAATAAGATAAATGCTGTGGAAGGCAAACCTTTCTCACCCTGTGCTGTCCAATGACTGTGTTACAATATATTAATAACTAACCCGGAAAGACGGTCAACGATGTCAAAGTGATTGAAGCAGTTCAGCCCTTTCTTCAAGAGGAGCTCTATGGGAAGGCAGTGTGGTGCCCTGGTGGGGCCGACGGGCTCTGCCGTCAGGCTGCCTCAGGTGAATCTTTGTTTCATAATTTTGGGAAAGTTACTTAACCTCTCCGAGTATTTCAGGTTCCTGCTCCGTAAATTATAAATGCAACCACTTCCTGGTTTTTGTGAGAATTACATTTGATAAATTTTAAGCACTTAATACCTGCCTGGTATACATGAAGAGCTCAAGAAATGTTAAATTTATCAAATTTGGAGGTTATTAAAAGAGAACAGAACATCTGATTGAGGGCAGAACTTGTACAGACTATTTCTACTACTGAGTTAAGCAGAAAAGACGAATAACGTGTGGAAAGCATAAGTTGAAGGCATCAGGTGGCTATCAAAGAGCAAGGACTTGAAACACCCTGATTCCAGAGAAAGGAAACCATGAAGTGAATCCAGCAAGACATTTGATACTTCATCTTCCAGGTCCAGAGACCTAGAAGCTGAGCAGAACTTCAGGCAGTCTCATAGAGTTGAGGAAAATACAAGAGTTCAGGGCCACTAACAAGAAGGCCCATAGTAAGTGCCCAGGCATGGAGATTCCTGAAGGACTAGGCTCTAGGAGTAAGGGCTAATCAGAAACATACCCGTCTTTACAGTCACTGATGCCGAACTTAGAACGAGCTTAGTATTAATCTGCTCCATCCAAACCGCCAAAAAGAAAAAAAAAAATAGTAAACCCTCTGTGGAGGGAAAATATATCATCTACAACCTCACGGTATCTCTTCAGTATCTTGAAAACAATGCCCAGCATTTGATAAAAAATTACTGAGCAGGCAGAGAGACATAACCATGAATGAAAACCTACAGGAAAAAAAACAACAGATAATAGAAACAGACCCATAAGAAATCTAGATATTAGAGTTATCAGCCACAAACTTTAAAGTAACTATTATTAATATAGTTAATGAAATAGACGATAAAGTCATTAATTTCATGAAGTAACTAAATTTGTGCAAAAGAACCAAGTGGATACCCTGAAGTTAAAAAGTGCGTTATAATGAAGAGTTAATAGTTTGAGAGGAATTTTTTTTTTTGGAAAGAAAATATTTATAATTTTTGTACAAGTTGAAAACACCTTCCCTATCATTTTGTATTTTATTTTTCATTATCATAATATGATATTTAAATATAATAAAATGTCTAAACAAGCCCCATTTAGATAACCCCCTTCTTTCTCAATTTCTTTTTTTTTAAATTTTATTTTAATTTATTTTTTCAAATACATTTATCTCTGCCTCCCCCCCACCACTTTCCCTTTGTGCTTTGGCCTCATCCTATGTAAACTTACCTTTGAAGTTAACTTAATTAACAGCTGTGTAACAACAAAGGTATAACATTAAACAGAATCTCAAATCATTGGTTGAATAATACAGAACTATAACCTCGAGAGATAATTATGTAAAAGGATCTGTGCCTCCACTCCTTCTTTCACCAGTGTGGTTGGAACACTAGGATTTTGGCGAAGGAACACTGAATGTTATGAGCAAATCTGCAATCACTTTTATCTTTATAATATTTCAATAACAAATGCTGTGAATATATATACATACATACATACATAAAGTAGCAAGGTAGAGGAATCAATAACCTAGAAGAAATAATTCTAGAAATAGAAAACTTGTTGTAATGTTGGACCTTCCATGAGTTTTGTCCTTAAGCGATGTTATTTGATCTTTCTGGGTGCATTTTCTGCACCAAGCCTCCCTCTGTTTTATCCCTGAAGTGTCATCGAGAGGTCTCTCTCACAAGATGCTCCTACCCAGATCACACCATGTGCATTCTCCCTACCCTGATGTTTCCTGACCCACGGGCTCTGTCATTCCTGAGATAAAGACCTCTACATTCCTGTTTCCCCAAACCCAGGGTGCAGAGATTCCTGATCCCCTTTCTTTTCCCTTCACATTTGATTCCCAAGCCATGTTTAGACAAGCTCCCTGGTCTAGCTATCGTTTTGGGGAAAGCCCCTACCAGAATTTTGACTCTGTTGAGCTGAGTTGCATTGGCTTCTGAAGGTGCGGGCACCTGCCTCACTCTCGTCTTTATATAAAGCCCCAACTCTAGTTTGGCAAATCCATGGTGGGCAGCCTTTAAACCAGAGGTCACCCTCGGGGTGGGGGGGCGGGTGTGTGTGTGTGTGTGTGTGTGTGTGTGTGTGTGTGTGTGTGTGTGTGTGTGTGT